GGGAGATAACAATAATAATAACATAAGGCTGTCATAAGGAATAAATAGATTGATATGTGTAATTAATTTATAGTAAATGTCATGTATGTATTATCTCCTAATAATATTAAACACCAAGCTAGATATACAGTGTTTAATGCAATATGGAAGAGAATAAATGCTTAATGAATGGAAACCATATAACTGATTACTACTGAGACATTAGGGAAAGGGTACATTTCATAGGCTATGGAAACAAAAAGAAGGTAAAGCTCAAGTGTGTGAAAAGGAAAGTCTCATAGTCACTGAGAAATGATTTGGGATTGGAGGTTAAGGGCACACTCTACTAATTTTGTAAGATGTCACTTTTTCTTAGCCAGAGACCAAAAGGCGAAGACCAAAGAGGAGGTAATTCTCCCATGGATTATTAAGGCTGGAATCTAGGGCATTCTAACCTCCCCTGCTCTGAGGAAAAAAATGAAAAACAGGTCAGAAGTAAAATGACATGGAGGTCTTAAAGGGTCTAGGGTAATTGGAAGGAACTTTGGTGATGTAGTGGTTAAGACATTTGGCTGCTAACTGCAAGGTCAATGGTTCAAACCCACCAGCTGCTCTGTAGAAGAAAGATGAATCAGTCTGTTTCTGTAAAGATTTACAGCCTTGCAAATCCAGTCGGGGTTGTTTTGAGTTGAAATTGACTTGATGGCAGTGAGCTTTTGGGGGCACAACTGGATGGACAGAGAGGAAGATGAGAGCTAACTAGAAGCCCAACTAGGAGTCTGGGACCAGCCTTGTGAAAACTGGGAAGGAGAAGATGAATTAAAGGGGGGAATGCTTTCTAGGAAGAATAAAATAATCTGCGTTAATGTGCATGGAGAGGAAGCAGAAAAAGATGAAGAAAAGTAACTAAGGAGATTTCTCTAAAGACCTTGTAAGCTTGATAAGAGGCATGCAGGGTAGAATGGGGGCTGGTGGGGCTTGAGAATGACTTCTTAAGTTTGAGACAGAGGTGAGAAGGGCAGAGGGATAAGAAGAAGAGAGTCATAGGGATGAAATAAAGGTGTTTGGATGGAGTGGGGATAATACCTCCCCTATAAAGTTTGGCTTCTGAAATTTTGTACACCACATTTTGCCTACAGTTGGCATTAGAAACAAGATTGGTGATAGTTTCTTGTGTCTAAACCCAGGGAGACCTTGATGGGATCTTAACCTGGAGTCAAGGAAATCCCTTCTGGGTAAGCCTCTTTAAGAGAAATCAAGTGTTTGTTTCTTTTATTGAAATAATAAGATATGGGCATGATCATTGAACTTGAATTTCATTGACTCTTAGCTTACAAGTACAAACAACATTTTAAACATATATTAGATACCAATTCTAACTCTGAAAGCCTCGTTTAACTACTAAGAAATATTACATAAGACATTTAAGGAGGCAGAACTGAATAAGAAAATGTTGTTGTTGTTAAGTGCCGTCGAGTTGGACCCAACTCATAGTGACCCCTCGTTGGGTTTCAGAGGCAGTATCACTACAGAAGTAGATTGTCCAAACTTCCTTCCGAGGAATGGCTGGTGGGTTTGAACTGCCAGCCTTCTGGTTAGCAGTCAAATGCCTTAGGCACTATGCTACCAGACCTCCCGAATAAGAAAACAGATCTTGATAAATTACTGACTATTTAGAGTCTGGAAATGTGAAACAAAGATTCCTAGTGGGTAAATCCTGAACATTTCAGGACAATTTATGACCTCTTTGGTATGGTTCTACTAGATTTTCCCAGGCCAAAACCTGTAGAACTGGTGGACATTGCCCTAAAATTGTATTTCTGAAGTAATACAGTGAAAACTATGAGTGCCAGAACTCAATGGACCTGTCTTGTTTTGCTTTGTTTCAAAGTTTGCTGCCTTTGACAGAGTGCAGTCTTACTACTTGTCTATCACTGTATATTAGTGGAAAATATTACAATTTTCCTTCTCTGACAAGTTTATACTTTACATAGTTTCCAGATTTCATAGGTTTTACTGAATATGAATGCATGAAGCATAAAGGGGACTTAAGGTACTGATGAGACAATGTCTGTACTCTCTAGGAGAAAATACCAAGGATTGGGAAAGCCAGAAGAAACTCAAGGAGGAAGGAAAAGCTGTTATATCACCATAAATGGAAAACACTGTGCAGTCAATATCAGAAATGTGATCCCTTTAGGTGAGTAAGTGAAGAAAGTCCTGAAGGCTGGAAAGGGAAAGGTGTTTAGAGAAGCATGGGAAGACATACAAGTGAATCTAATCAGAACATCTCTTAGTTTCAGTACATTAATTCTTAGGTATGATTTCTTAAATTCTACTGTGGGAATGAACTGAGGCTAAAAGGCAGAGAAAGCACTCTTCTCTTATGGTTCCTGGAGCTTCAGCAAAATGAGATCACTCAAGATATGCACCTCAACATTTCACTTATTCCCTGATATGCTTTTGCACACAGACTCTCCTCCTTTTAGTCACTGGTAAAGCTGCATTCTAAGAAATTTGGCCCATTGCCATATCAGCTTTTGGAAATCTGAATCCCTATCCTTATGACAAGGTATCCCCTCCATCTTCAAATTCTTGTTAAGATAGTGCTTCTCAGCCAGAATTATCTCACTCTTCCTAGTGACATGTGGCAATGTCCATAGACATCTTTGGTTGTCACAATTCAGAAAAATCTAGTTTTGATCACCATTTGTTTCCTATTAATCTATTATTTTTTTATCTTAAAATTATGAAAACAGTATATGAACTATGAGAAATTATAGACTGTACAAATTATTCAGGAAACTTTATCAAGTTCAGTGTTTGAGTGAATAACCCACAAGCAATTATTTTGCTGAAAGTGTTCCAATGGTTCATATATAGTAACCATTCATCCTCCAATTAGTAAAAATTATTACAGCCAAAGTTCAGAGGTGTCCAGAAATGGGATATATCAGCTAGATGGTACTTTTTTTTTCATGTGCTTGGTCCTGCTAGGTTTTTCAACCACTTTTGTGAACCTCATGAAAGACAAGCACCTTAACTCAAACACAATTCACCATAGCAATCAGGAATGGGGCTGTAAAATTTTATATAAGCATTCATAAAGCTTAGAGGTGTGTGAAATATTATTTTTCATTTGATGATACTTATTAATAATTAACATACATACCAGGAACTGCTTTCAGTAGCTTAATCTGACAAATTATTGACCGTAAGCAGCAAGTGGCAGTAAATTCGGCCTTCCCAGCACCATCCAAATCTAAGCTGATGAAAAATCAACTTTCAGTTCTGAAACAGGTGCCAGAATGGCATAGTGGTTAAAGTGTCAAGTGCTAAATGACAGGTCAGCACTTGGAACCTACCAGTCACTCCATGGAAGAAAGATATGCCAGTCTGCTTCTGTAAAGATTCACAGCCTTAGAAACCCTCTGAGGCAGTTCTACTCTGTCCTATAGGGTTGCTGTAAGTCAGAATAGACTTGATATAAATGAGTTTGGTTTAGTTTGCTTACTCCTGAAATAGATCATCTCTATCCACAGCATTAAATGTTTATATTCTTCACAGAATAAAAATATCTCAACCTAATATTTATGAATATTTACATTATCTCTGTTTGAGAAATCTAATGTTAAAAACACTGAATACATGCAAAATGAATAAAAGATTTATTAACATAAAATAATAAAATATTCTAATCAAAAATAATACTTTAACAATAAATTAAAAAGAAATTAGAAACTTTAAAAATAGGTATGGAAAGTAAATTTGCTCTGTGAATCTTCACCCAAATAACAATTAAAAAGAAAAAAAAAAAATAGTTTAGGCAATTCTGAGAGGGAAAGAAAGATATGTGAGGACATAAAAATGCTCAAAGAACTTAAACCAAAATCATTAAGATTACAAAAGTAAATGGTAAAACGGAAGAAATCTAACAGACTGATGAGCACAGGAAAAAAAAAAAATGTTAAGCCTTTCATTAGTTATTTAAGAAGTCTAAATTAGAAACAACACTATTGTAGTTAAGGTTGTATGCTAACTTGGCTGGGTCATGGCTTTGAGTGGTTGGGCAGCTGGGTACAGTTATCCCCCATGATGAAATTGTAATCACCTTCATGATGGAATCTGCTGTGAACAGCTAGGGGGCTGCCTTTGCAGTGTGGCCTGTTTCCAGGATATAAGGAGAAGCTTTGGGAAAGCTTTTTGGTAAATCTGGGTCCTGCATTTGGCCAACTCTTCATCTCAATGGCCTACCGTGTGGCCTGCCAATCTTGGGATTGTTCCTAGACTAGAATCAGTGATCTGCCATGTTGCCTGATCTTGGGATGGTGCCATTTTACCTGCAGATCTTGGGTTCTTCAGTTTCAGTAGCTAGAAGCTGCATGAGTCAGAAAAGGCCTCCAGCTCTAGTGGGCCTGGAACAGGAGGCAGAGCTGAAGCCCAAGGTCAAGGGGTCTTCACCTAGCCCCTAGAGCTGGTACTTTTAACTCAGACCTCTAACCTTCTAAACTGTAAGAGAATAAATCCCTGTTTGTTAAACCATCCATTTATGGTATTCCTGTTAGTGCAGCACCAGAGAAACAAAACACCTTTATAGATTAATACAGATATTTTTAAAAGTATAGCCTATGGTGCAATAAAATAGGCACTCTGATTTATTGTGGATGAGAGAGTAATCGGTAAAAATTTTGACAAAATATTTGTATGTAAAAAGAACCATTTCTTGTTTTTTCCCTTCATCTTAACAATGCAATCATATTCCCAACCCTTATTAGTATTCTTACAATAAGGATACAATATCATCCTTTGAGAAAGAAAGCAAAATATTCTGGGTAAAATCCTAGACTTCATATTGCTTCTTACTAGTATTGGTATTTTAAGCATTTCCCAGGGCCTTCATTTTCTGTTCCATGAATTATGCTAATTGAACCATATTGCGTCTACAGCATCTCCAGTTATAGCTCTATTCATGTAATTGATTTTAGAGTAAACATTTAAAGGAAAAGAGAAATACAACATACTTATTTTTAATGTGCTGAGGGGAGCCAAGACACTTGAAGCTGCCATTGACCATTATAGCAAGTCTTGTGCAGAGGGCCTCACACTCCTCCATGCTGAAGAGAAGGAAAAAAGAAAAAAACATAAAACAAGTCATGTTCAAGAGAGATAAGGGTGAATCAAATTGTGAAAATGAAAAAAAACAGACAAAAATAATACTATTTTCAAATTAATTTTCTATAAAGAACTTCAGGAAAACAAAAAAAAAATATACATTTAGAATTAGTTTACCATTAGCTGGCAAATTATACAATCACTAAAAAAGTTATTAGCATTTCCTTATAGTGGAAAGAAGAATTTTAAATATATGAGAGAGAATCTTTTAGCAATAGTACAAAAATGCAAAATAGAGAATAACCTTAGCCAAAATGTGAAAGTCTCATGAAAAGAAACAAGAAAGTTTTATTGATGGGCATAAATGAAATCCTGGTGTATTAAAGTCCTGAAAGGAAAGGATAGATACTTGAAAAACTGAATAATCATTAAATTATAATACAAAAATTATATAACATAACATAATATTACTAACCAGAGGGTAGACACATTTTACCTTAGCTGAAGGGGAATGTAACATACAATAAAAACCAAAACCAAACTCAGTGCCATTGAGCTGGATCTAACTCAGAGCAACCCCTCCTTGGGTTTCTGAGGAGGAGGTTAACAAAAAATGATCAAGGCAAAAAAATGCAATGGGAGGTGTACAAGGCTTAAATGCAACAGCGTTAAATACTACTACACACACAATCCTGCATTAACAAAAGTAAAAATAATCTATAAGTGGATACACAGTTAACCTCATAGGCTGAACAGGTATGGGAAGGAGAATAGGATTTTACTCATGAATATATACAGGTTTGACAGAGAATATCTAAGAAATAAAAGATAATATTTTGTAAGTATAAATATAAAATATAATAAATTAATGATAATGTATATTCTAATACAAAATATAGGAGCTCTGGTAGCATAGTGCCTAAAGCACTTGACTGCTAACCAGAAGACTGGCGGTTCAAACCCACCAGCCACTCCTCGGAACGGAGGTTAGGCAATCTACTTCCGTAGTGACACCGCCTCGGAAACCCAAGGAGGGGTTGCTATGAGTCGGGTCCAACTCGAGAGCACATAACAACAACAACAAATACGAAACATAATGTGATATACAATTTAATATTATATATCAAGTATAATGTTACAAAGATTATAAAGTATAATTTATTTTTACATGATGTGAGAAAAATTATAACATAAATTATAGTATGGATATAGCATAATGCCAAACAAAAATTTGTTCCCCATGGGAAAAATGACAATGATTATAAAATATATCATTATATAGATAGATTATTCAAGAAGAATGAGGAGAGAAGACTTTCTCCAGTAAACATTAATGTTTTATATAGCTAGAACAACTAAAATGAAGAGATACTCTAAAAAGTACAAGACAGATCAATGGAACAAAGTAATATAGCCTGGAATTAGACATGAATACCTTATATGTATATGTGTTCTGAGGATAGGAAAAGAATTTCTAAGTGTGACAGCAGTGGAAGAAATTATGAAGGAAATGTTCCATATATTTAACAATGTAAAACTATAAAAATTCCAATAAGGTATCCAAATACAGCAGACTAACATTTTAAAATCAATTATAACAAATGCATTTGACAGGGATTGACACATTTAATGGAAAAAACTCACTGAAAATAACTTGGTTAGTCTGAAAACAAAATAATAAAAATCTACTAGAAAAATAAAAAGGAACAAATAACATGTGGAGACTATTAAAATCTGCTTGTTGATGTTGTTATGTGCCATCGAGTCAGACCCGACTCATAGTGACCCCTCCTTGAGTTTCCGAAGCTATATCACTACAGAAGCAGATTGCCCAACCTTCCTTCCGAGGAGTGGCTGGTGGGTTTGAACCACCAGCCTTCTGGTTAGCAGTCAATTGTCTTAGGCACTATGCTACCAGAGCTCCTATTAAAACTGCTAATGGCTAATAAAACTCAAATCAAACCCATTGCCATCCAGTCAATTTCAACTCATAGTGATCTTGGAGGATAGAGCAGAACTACACCATTGTCCCATGGTTTGCAAGGCTGTAAGTCTTTTATGGAAGCAGACTGCCACATCTTTCTCCCACAAAGCAGCTTGTGAGTTCAAACTCCCAACCTTTCAGTTAACAGCAGAGCACTTAATCAATGTACCGCCAGGGCTTATCAGCAAATTACAAATTTAAGCAGAAATAAATCGATTTTAAAATATTTTCTAGTTAGAAAGGCATTATTACATTTCCTTTTGTATGCTGCAGAGGAAAAAGGTTTTATTTCCATCCACAGCAGGTAAAAAAGAAAGAAAGAAACCCACAATGAATTCTAAAATCAAACAATACCCAAATTCTAAGATCAATAATGATATTTTCCAAGTAATGGATCACCTCATAACCTCATATGCTGTTGGTAAGAGCGAAATATGGCATAACTTTCTGAAAACCAATTGGACAACAATTCCTCTGGGAATTTACCCTAAGAAAACACAGAGAAAAAAATAAATGTGTAAAGATGGATATAACAACTTATTTAGTAATAACCTGAAAACGTAAAAATTACACACACACACAAATTCCACAGTAGCATAAAAATCAAAGAAATGAAATTCATATGTTAATTAGTCACTAAAATCACTAAAATGAACTTTCATAACATCAATTAATTATGTGGGGAAAAGGTAATGATAAAGCAATGGTAAGAAATAACAGCATATACTGTAGTCCCTCACATATCTGTGATTTCACTTTCTACAGTTTGTTACTTGTAATCAACCAAGGACCAAAAATGTTAAATGAGTAATGTCATCCAGTTGCATCTTGCCCAGGATGTGAATAACCCCTTTGTACAGCATGTCATGGCTTGGAGGCTGCTTTTTTTTTTCCCCCCCTTGGGAAAAAAAATATATATATATATTAAATCTAGGGCCTGAGGCCAGGGGATTGGAGACTGATTTTCACTTGGGTGTAGCTCTATATTAAGCCAGAGGCCTGAGATAGACAGGCAAGGGGCTTGGAGGCTGCTTTTTGCTTGGATTTGGCACTATATTAACGCCAGGGCCTGAGGAAGATGGCAAGGGGCTTAGAGGCTGCTTTTTGCTTAGGTGTGGCTCTATACTAAGGCAGGGGCCTGAGGCTGATGGGCAAAGGGCTTGGAGACTGCTTTTCACTTGGGGGTGGCTCTATATTAAGGCTGGGGCCTGAGGTAGGCAGGGTGGGGCCTTGGAGGCTGCTTTTTGCTTGGGTATGGCTCTCTACTAAGCCATGGGCCAGAGGTAGGTGGGCCCAGGTTTGTGAGGTGCTTTTCCTTTGGGGGTGGCTCTATACTAAAGCTGGGGCCTGAGGTAGGCAGGCCAAGGACTTAGGAACAACTAAAGGAAACAAACTTGTCTGTCAATTTGTCATCCTGTGGTGGCTTACATGTTGCTATGAGGCTGGAAGCTATGCCACCATGCTGCACAATGCCAACAGGGTTACCCATGGTGGAGAGATTTCAGTGGAGCTTCTAGGTTTAGACAGACTCAGAAGGAAGAGACCTGCCACTTCTCAAACAATTGGCCAGTGAAAACCTTATGAATAGCAGTGAAACACTGTCTGATATATAACCGGAAAACTTTATGAATAGTGTTGAAACATTGTCCAACATAGTGCTGGAAGATGAGTGAATCAGATCAGAAGGAACTCAAAATTTGCCTGGGGAAGAGCTGACTCCTCAGAGTAGAGAAGACCTTAACTACATGGATTGAGTAAAGCTTTTGGGACCTCCATTGGCTGCTGGTGCTTCACTCAAAATGAGCAGAAACAGATGCAAACATCCATTAATAATTGGGACATGGAATGTATGAAGTATGAATCCAGGAAAATTGGAAGTTGTCAGAAATGAAATGGAATACATAAAGATTGATCCCCTAGGCATTAGTGAGCTGAAGTTGACTGGATTTGACCATTTAGAATCAGACAACCATATGATCTACTATGCCAGGAATGACAGACAAATTGAAAAGGAATGGTGTGGCATTCATCTTCATGAAGACTGTTCAAGATCTGTCCTGAAGTACTATGCTGTGAGTGATAGGATAAAATCCATATGCCTACAAAGGAAGACCAGTTAATCCTACTATTATCCTAATTTACACACAAACCACCAAAGCTAAAAATGAGGATATTGAAGATTTTTCCTAACTTCTGCAGTCTGAAATTGGCTGAACATGCAATCAAGATGTGTTGATTATCACTGGTGACTGGAATGCAAAAGGTGGAAACAAAGAAAAATCACCAGTAGTTGGACAATATGGCTTTGGAGGCAGAAATAATCTGAAGATCACATGATACAATTTTGCAAAACCAATGCAAATATCTTTTTACTCATTGCAAATACCTTTTCTCAATAACAGAAGTGATGGCTATACATATGGACTTCACCAGATGGAATACACAGGAATCAGATAGACTACTTTTGTGGCAAAAGGTGATGGAGAAGTTCACTATCTGGCCAAGAAAGGCCAGGAGCTGATTGTGGAACAGACTATCAACTTCTCATATGCAACTTCAAGTTGAAGTTGAAGACAATTAAAACAAGTCCATAAGAGCCGAAATGTGGCCTTGATAATATCCCTCCTGAATTCAGAGACCATTTAAAGAATAGATTTGATTCACTGAACACCAATGACCAAAAACCTGAGAAATTGTGGGATGACATCAAGAACATCATCCATGAAGAAAACAAGGTCATTTAAAGACCAGAAAGGAAGAAATAACCAAAATTGATGTCAGAAGACACTCTGAAACTTGCCCTTGAGTGGAGAGTGTAGCTAAAGCAAATGGAATAAATGATAAGATAAAAGGGCTGAACAGAAGAACTGGGCAATGTTTCATTCTGCTGTGCGTAGGGTCACTATGAGTCAGAGACAACTCGACAACATCTAACAACAGTATGTTCATCTGTGTATGCTTCCAATCCATTAGTTATTGTTCTTAATCTCTTACTGTGTCTAATTTATAAAGTAAATT